TTGCTTTAGAGGCCTACAAAAAATGTTGAGAGCAAGCCACAGCTTCATGCTACAAAAATTGCTGCACAGTTCCAGGTACTGACCTCGTAGTCCAGACTGAGTTTAGAAAATTCTTGGCATGTCTTATGAGTACAGTTTCTGCTTTTATTCATGTGAAATGTGCAAGACTCTTTTTAGCTGCGCAAAATCAAGGACATGCTTCAAATTATCTCAGAAATTGTCCCTGTAATAATAAAAAACGAGTGGTACTCAATGGATCCAACGATTACCGACGCTGGAGCCACTATGGAGGTTATTGCTTTCACAAAAAACCTTTCACTAATTACTAACTCAGAAACCTTTTATCAGGTTTTTGAGCCTGTGGACATTGTATTTTTCTCCAATTATTAGCGAAAATTGAACATCAACTCAATGACACCTCTCTTCAAGCTACTTTTGAGGCTCCGTTTTGGTTCATTCGTAATTCGGCCGCTGGTCATTGGATCACAAATTTGTTGCTGCTATCGCTCCGAACCCTACTCACTGATACAAGCAGTGATAAGTTGATATCTGCCATAATGGTTTTATCTCAAGTGGACTTCGCAAGCAGCGGTTTCGCAGCTTTTAATGAAGCTATGGACATCGCAGAAGCAAAGGTGCAGCAAACTGTCCTGCCTAAATTTTTTTACTGTCATATATCTGGCTATGTTCTAGGAGTCTTTCAACTGTGCAGGCATTTTTGAGTTTATATCGGATCCAGTTGTAATGGATCGATTGGCGAGCTTGGCCTCAGATCGTCCTCAGTGTTTTTCTATGGGAGGAAAAGAGTAAGTTGGTCTTTTTTCGCAATCTACTGAAGAAAAATTGTTACAATAATTCCAGCAGTGAAGTCGAACTTCAGAACGCAATCGAGTCGCGCATAATCAATCTAGACGAAGGGGAAAAGATCAGATCTTGCCTACAGTTTCTGATGAAAGCTGACGATATGCTGGGTTCTTGATAAGTAATGCACAATGCTCCATGCTGTATGATAAACGTCGTTGTGGAGATTGTATAAAGCTTGAAATTTTGCTATCCACGGCGCTTGATAGCGGTTGGTACGAAAATTAAAGCCTTTTTTATATTTCAATTTTCTATGGTGCCGAATAAGTATGAGAAGTGTTCTTTATGTTTTTCTAATTAAGGCTCTATGGTTCCACGTCTTTCGTCTTCAGAAGTGTGAATAGTTTTAAGCGTTATCCGTCACCGGACCAACAAGTATTTCCCAACTCCGCTAGTTCTCGGCCTTCTCACGATCTCGCTACCATATAAAATGTCATGTAGCAGGATACGGAAGACTGCTTCTACTTGAGCATGGGCTGCACCATGTGGAAGAAGTAACCTTGGTGATAAG